GGGAGGGAGAGGTAGAGAGAGAAAAAGGGAGGCTGAGAGAAAGAGATTGGTAGATAGATAATAATATAGAGAAAGAGAGAGAGGGCGAGATAGATAGATAGATAGATAGAATAGATAGAATAGATAGATAGATAGATAGATAGATAGACAGACAGATAGACAGACAGACAGATAGACAGACAGACAGACAGACAGACAGACAGACAGACAGACAGACAGACAGAACTTACTCGTACTTCTCGAATGCAAATTATTAGTATCAAAGACATTTGTAATGATAGAAGGGAGTACTCAGCTATGATCAAGTCAAGGATCGATTGGATTGGCTTCAAAATGGTAATTTTTTAGGGGACCAATGTCTCTGGCTCAATATTCGAGCTTCTTTTGAGGGGACCTGTGTCTTTGGGGCGAAATTCAAACTTCTTTTGAGAGGGCAGGTCGCTACCTTACATTTACAAAGAGCTATCTGCTCAGCACCTAGTTTTGAGAAATTTGACGTCCAATTTTTTTAGTTTCCCACTATGTCAAACTGTTTCAAATGCAATTCTTTGAATATCTTGATAACGACTCCGAATAATCTTACGATTTTGATAGAGCAGACAGTAAATTTGGTTTCTGACATCATGGTATTAGTAACTGAGAACTGCCAAAAATGTCAGATAGAACTTTGTAATTCTAAGGTAGCGAAGTGTCTTGGATCAACCCCCGCCGAAGCTCGGGTTTGTAGGTACCATGTATATTGATAACGTAACATCATTTGTGATGCAGAGTGGTGGAATCAGGCTCTCGTCAATTTTTGGACATGTAGAGTTAATGGTATCATCCTAAAGTTTTTTCATTTATTTTTATTTGGATGAAAAAAATATCCATTTACCTTGAATACAAGTCGAGATATTTGCGAAAGAAGGAGGTGGGGGTCACCTGTTTTCAGAGGTAAAATTAGTGAGAAAATGGCCGCCAAAGATTAGTTATTTCCTTAGCTTAAGAGTCCATGGTAACTGAAAATTTACATTCTTTGTGCCTTTAATCAACGTTTTTCAGAAAAATCCACGCAGAA